ATCAAGGGATGTAGCCTAGTGGGTAGAGCAAGTGTATAGCAATCAGAGGGGCGCGGTATTGAGCCACACTATGAGACTTTTTTCTAGCTAGAAATAGCCTAGATTTAGCTAATTTCTGATCAGAATTAGGATAAGAAATAAAGTATCTAAAGAAAATCCATGCTTTATTTAAACATTTCAAAATGATTTTCTGATCAGAAATTAGATTAGATACAAAGTATTTCAGGTCAGAAATAAAGAATTTTTTCGGTACGTGAGGGGAAATCATAAAATATTAGACGAACACACGCATACACAGACACACACACACACACACACACACACACACACACACACACACACACACAGAGAGAGATCAGCGATGTGCATTACTTACACATAAAAAAAAAACATTTTTAATCCGCGATAGTTATCACTACAAACTTCATTTGGCAAATTTGCATTTTAAAGAGCAGATGCGCAGTTATCTTAGTTTTACTCTGAAATTATCCTCTTGTTGGCTGGAAACTCCAGTAACTAAAATGCATGAAAAATAGAACGTTATGCTTTTTTTAATCCGCACCAACCTAATCATTTTTTCAGGTAGAGTCCCGCATAGTCGAAGGACCGAATAGGCGAAAAAAAAGAATCAGACAATCGGGTTTCAGTATTCCAAAATTTGGGAATAAAGCATGAAAATCTCGAAAAAGTAAGCATTTCCAGGGACTTAATATTAATATTGGCCGAAAATAAATAGGTCAGAAATATGAAAATTTTTCAAATAGTGACAGACCGCAGGCGATTTGTAACAAATTTTATATTTCAAGGGTTTTGTTATAAAAGAAGCGAACTTTTTTTTCATTTATTTTCTTTTGTTTGAACGGCAACGGATTCATTTTGATAATTGACTTTCCGCTGTTTTTGTTTTCGGTCCTTCGTTAACGAGTCCTTCGCCCATGAAAACAGCCCCCTAATAAATGGAGGCTAAAAAGAGTTGATCGAATCGTAGTTCAGCAATGCGTCTAATTTCAACCAATCAGATTTTAGCATTATCATTTCTGACTTCAAAATTTGGCTCTTGCAAAATTAAGTACATTAACTAAAGAACCCCGTTATGAATCTGCCTGGGCCCATGCAAATAGTTTTCTTTTAATTAACTACCCGCAGTGAGCGCCCATGGATCATATAGTCAGCATCTAAAAAAATACAAACTATTCGATTATAATCCTTTCAAAATGATTTGTAATCTTAATTTTTTTCTGTCAAGTTAACCAATTATAAATGATTGTAATCATTGATAATGGATTTTTTATAGGTTATTGACAAGAAAAGCTTCCATTAAAAAACAAGTTTAAATCAACAACTTACAATTTTTTTGAGACTATCTCATTTTCTGTTTAGTTTGGTTGCTATGTGTTGCGTTTTATAGTGTCCTACATTTCACATGTTATATTTTACATAGATTTTGCACATTTTTCTTTTTTCGTTTTTTTCCAATTCTAAACTCATGGCAGTTAAATATTTTATTAATCTTCTATTTACTAAAATCATCACTCTTCGCCCAATCCTTTCCCCCACCCTCGCATTCAAGTTCAGGGGAGGTTTAATGGTTGAATTGACGGGTGTTTGAGGGTTGATTTCAATGCTTGAAATCATTGTTAACCATTAACTAATGGGTAAGTTAATGGGTTAATGGTTTAACACAATCGCTTTTACCATCCACACCCCTAGTTTACCCCCTAGTTTATCCCCTATCCCACTTTTATTAAAGCGTGGGAGTTAAATTGAGCGAGGGGGGGTTTAGTAAACTGGGGGAGAGCGTAGTAAACATAGGATCGTCTTTTGAACGTAATTGAATTTTAACTCATTTTTTGTTATCTTCGTACAAAAAATATAGCAGAGATTTTATCGCTAATTTTCTGCAAAATAATTGAACTTAGTATAGTAGAAAAATGGATTGCAGTCAATTATAATGGGTTATAATGGATTTTTTAAAAATCAAAGATAGTTTTTTTATAATGGTTTATCTTGAAAAATGTCAATGCCAAAAATAATGGAATATTTTTGATTACAATGGATCACAGTGAATTTTTTTTTCAAAAAAAAATTGACTATAATGACAAAAATAGACTTAGTGGTCTGAACTTTACTTCTGTAACGGATTATTTTTTGTCTCCGAAATCCATTCTCTTCAATCAAAATCCATAAGCGCTCGAAGGGGCTAAGAAAACACTCACATCTTAAGAGTAGAGAGCAATTAGTATCAATTTTGTTGGGTTGAAAACCTCCCATTAACACTGAGCGATCTTCCTAAATTTTTGTTTGGTCTTTTTTTTGCGCATCAGAAAAGAAAACTGTTGGAACTTAAAATTTTCTGAAACTTACTAAAATTCAAGTAGCTTTTTTAGCGGCGAATTTGTTTTTTTTATATATCAAAATTCTCACCTTTTTTCGAAAGCATGGAGGAAAATGTCTTAAAGCGCCAATGGATTTTAATCAATGAGAATGGATTCCAGAGACAAAAAACAATCCATTATGATACATCACTGAAGCATAATTCAACCACAAAAACCATTATCTTGTCATTATAGTCGATGTTTTTGACAAAAAAATCTTTGCAATCCATTATAATTAAATATAACCCATTATTTTTAGATTATCTAAGCTCAGAGGCGGATTAAGGGGGGGGGGGGGGCGGAACGGACTTTTTTGCCCTGTTTTTTTGACCTGTTTTTTCAAAAATTTGCTACCGGCGCAGAAAATTTGACCAAAACAGCGTCTTTTCAATGCTTTAGGAGAGCTCGGAAAACTAATCAAAAAAATGTCATCAAAATTTTTGAAATTTTTTTGAAAATCCGCACCCCCCCTTCGAGAAAATCCTAGATCCGCCCCTGTCTAAGCTGTTTAACTCTTAAAAGTTCGTGTACTGAAATTAAACATGGTACGTGGTGCCTAAGTGACTTAAAACGACCTACGAAAAGGTTGACAAAACGTTCGCAAAGCTTTTGAAAACAAGCAAATATGGTCTCAACGTCCAATGTTAGTTTTAGAAATCACTTAGAAAAAACTTGAATTTCTAGTTCAAAATTAAGACAAAACTGACAAAACAATGAATGGCGAAATGGCACTAAACATTACCAGGAAAACTTGATGTGTATTGAGTATTGAGTTCATTTTTCTGATTAAACTAGACGAAATTTGATTTCAATCTGTTTTCAAGAGATATATTTTTCTTCTTATACGTTGTTTTAGCTATAAGACTGCTTTTTATGCTTTTTACCTGACTCAATTGCTTTTTAATAAAAAACCAAATATTTAGACCAAAATAGAATAAAAACTGTTTGAAGTTTTACGATTCTTTACTTCTTGTTTTTGAATCAGCTTGATTTTGAAGATGACATTTTGTGCTTCTTGCAGAGAAATCGCTTTTATGTTTCCTTACTTTTTTTCAATCTACAGGCAAAAAAGATGAATTAGGAGTCAAATGTGACAAATCTATGTCAACCACAATGATTAATAAGTATCAAAGTGGCTATTATGGATTCACCTTATCCCCGAGAGTAAAGTCGCTTGACAAATAGTTCCATATTTCGCCTTATTGAGTTTTGATGAAGCAGTTTTCACCACCCTTGGGATTTTGCCATCCGTGAATGAAGATTAGTTTTGAGATTATTTTGGACAACTGGTGCTCGATTGAATTTATTCACACTTTGTTCAAAATATTTAACAAACACGTTAAGGGAGGTTTTTTTAATGCTTACCATTCTGAAGCAGTTCTCCAGAATTCGTGCCTTTTTCTTTTCAGCAAAAATTAATTAGATTTCCTCTGTCGGTAGATTTAACAGTTGTGTGAATCAACTTCTTCATTCTATTGTTTAAAAAATAACTGCAACGAACCACTCAAAAACTAACATTTGACCTTTCCTGTATCAACACGTGATAGTTTAAACAAAAAAGTACTTAAATTGGTATGTTAATGCTTCATATAAAAATGAGTAAATGAAAAGATCAATTTTGAAACTCGTTATGCTATGATTTTTGAAAAGCAAATTACACTCAAGTTTATCAATTCGTTTTTAACTTATTTCTTTTACAGTTCTGCATTTTTCTGGTCGAAAAAATATTTTGAACGAATTTAAAGGGCAGTCGGCAGGCTCAGAAATTTACTGATGACAGCAGTCTTGTTCTTATCTTAAGTTTGATGACCAACTGAGGTGCTATAAATAGAGACTTTTGACGATGAAGAAGGTATTTTTAATATTCTGGAGCACCAAATGCTATTTAAATAAAATCTTAATCCACTATTTTTCTATTGAAGAAAAATTTTACAATGCACAGGTGTAGAACAAACAATAACACTCGAGTCAAATCCTACTTGAGGTTAATTTAATATCAAGGCCTTGACGAGAACGGGGATTTCAATAATAAATCTAAAATTTTTAGTTTACAGTTTTCCCTCTTTTTCCACTAAAAACTATCTCATGTTTATTTAGCTTTGAATGGCCAAAAGTTTTATGAAAAACATGAGTTAAAGTAAACAAAATAACTTACTAAAAAACTGCACTTGTTCGCGGAAAAAGGCATAAAAGTTTTTTTGCGGAACAAAGCGTTTTAATTCGCGTGGACTAGGGCGTTGCCATTTAGTTATTGATAAAACGTGCAAAACGTTTTACGAAGTAATCAATTGCTTTAAAACTATTAATTTTTTTCCCAAACCATGAGGTACTATTTGAAAAAAAAAGAATGTTTGCAAGCGTTTTTAGTTATTCGCTTTTATCAATGCCAAATATAAAAAACTGAAAAACGTTCCTAGTTAGCAAAAAAAAAAACAAGCTAAGTTCTATTGACGCTTTCATCTAATGGTAGCATCACGCTAAAAAAACTGAAAGTAACTATGTGTAAATAAAGCAATAAAGAACTGCCTGCTACAAATTATTATTTTTTGTTGAGGAAACTAAATAGACTTGGCGTTCATTAGAAATGTGTGGTGCTTTTATATTCTTAATTTTTGTTTGTTTCAGACAAAAAAGTGATATTGGTTATGACAATCCATCTCGTTGAAAATTAAAAATATCAATCAAATTGAAATAATGTCCTAAAATATTGAGTTTACACCGTCGTTTAACATTTATTATCAGCTAACTATCAAGAATTTGTAATTTACGACTTCATTTGCAGAAAATTTCACCTATTCAAATTTCTGATTTGTTGCCTCTAATTTATTTCTTTTCTTGTTCAAACCCATTTCTTTACTTTGTTTCAACGATGATAACAAAAACCAAGTTTTGATAAAAACCTACAAAAGTTTATTTATATTTCGCATTTTTTATCAGACAACCAATAATTTCAAATTATTCACCTTCCATTTTTGCTACTATTTGATTTGAAACAAAAAATATGTATACACAAAATTTCACGCCATCATTTATCAGAAGCTACTTGTTTATATTTGCAAACAACTGACCAATTTTTTTCTTGATATTACGTATCAACATCTTCAAAAGATTCCAGAAATAACTTTATGCTACTCACAAAAAAATGTAACATCGCGCAAAAACTAACTACTATACTCTAAATTGCCAGGTAAAACATAAGAAAGTTAATTTACGTAATTATTACCTGATGGAGTTAGTAAATTTTTTTCGAGTGATCACCATCGTCTTAGTTTCGCTCGGAGATTTCTCTAGGGGCGACCAAATTCGACAGTACCCTGGAGTTCTTCCAGAACCAGAGGTATTTTACTACTTTGAGCATTTAACTCAGGTGTTGAGATCCATGAATTACTCAGTTACTATTCCCAAAAGGAACCCTGCAGACCCCAAAACTGACCCTCTAGTTGTGACGTCACAACTGTACATTGAGAGCATCCGAGATATTCAATCAGGAAAGAGTTCAAGCTGACATGTTTTATTTTTCTAATTCTTAAATAAAACCATATGAAATAAATTACAATCTTAAAGTTTTATACACATCCAAAAATACTGAAAGTTTAGAGATAATTTGGGGAATATAATAATGGGTATCGGTTAAGACCTAAGCAGGTCGTACATTGGTCCTAGGTCTCGCGGATGTTCATAAAACAAAATCTTTTAATCGCCGCTCTTAGAGTTGCCGGATTTGTCGATCGCCCGTCCCTCAAGTCTGGTCACTATATGGTACTATTCTCAAACTTTTCTAAAAACGTGTTTGGCGCCAAACTACGAGAATAATTTTGAACACATATCACGTGTCAAAAAACTCTGTTTTTCGGTCCAAGTATTTCAAAAGGTTGCTATAAAACGCTACTTTTATCCAAAAAATTGCATGCACCGCCGAAAATTCTACAGTTTATGAACGTTCGAGAAACGGATTGGGGTACTTAAAAAATTTGTCGATAAAACTTTCAACCCCTTTCCCGAGCCAAGAAAAGTGTTTGAATGAAATATAATTTTGTTTGTTAATTTGTCAGCTTGAACTTTTCTTTCCAACAACAATAGACTGCATAATTGACCTGTACATGCGGGAGACATGGGAAGATCCCCGACTGAAGGACTGGCACTCCAACTCGACCGAGTTCGCCAAAATGTACCCAAAACTGGTGAACGACCAGACCAAAATACTGTGGAAGCCAGACTCCTACTTCTTCAAGGTAAGTACTGTTCAAACTGCATTTTTTACCGAGTTTTACCAGTTTTATGCAGTAAGTTTAAGTTTTTTGGGAATTTTTGTTATACTGTTATCGACCACAGCTGCTGTGGTGATTTCAAAACAATTCTTGGAGCTTTGTTATTTTTTGTCGAAAAAAACCTTAGTTGTATAAAAAAAGTCGTAGTTATTCTCGGCTTTTTAAAATCAAGATCAGTGCCGTTTTCATAAAAATATCAATGAAATGGCTACATAAATTCTAGCATTAATCAGAGCAAAGCAATATCTAAATCAGCCCTGAGCTTTGAGTTTTACAGAATAATTCAAGATCTACAAAAAGCAAAAGGTCCTTACGCGATTGATGTGATTAAATTTTAGGCATTTCTTTTGCCCCATAGGTTCCTAAAAGCAGATTCAAACGCTGACATTACATATTGGAGCCAGCTAGGGCAAACAATTGAGAGTCGCAGGGGCGGATTTAGGGTAGGGGGCGTGGGGCAGATGCATCCTTCCTCAGGAATTCGACCCACTGCTTTGTACTATTTTGAGATATTCATTTTTGGCAGACGGACCCTAGAATTTTTCTAAAGCGGCCTTCGGCGCTAATATATACTATTTTGAGGCCCAGAAAAAAAATGCCTTTCAGGGTCTATGGAGCAATAACCTGAAAAAATTAAATATAATAAAATAAAATGAACTTTTTTAATTTCAGAATTTTTGTAAAAATTGTCCCCCCACACAACATTTGAAGTACAAAGTGAGATATTTTGTTCCTAGTAACAACTCGATTATGCCAAATGGGCTTCTTTCAACCAATTTGGAACAGTTTCTAAGACGGAATAAAACTCCGCTTATGCATTAATATCGCGAAATATATCGCGCGTTATTTGTCACAAATTGACCAAAATGGCAATCTATATACCGCCATAAAATTAGAAAAAAAATCAAAAGTGAAACATTTTTTTCAAATTTAAGCTCAAGACAAGAAAGCCTTTTGAATTGAAAAATGGCTTGTTAAAAATTCGAAATTTGTCTGAAGCAAAAAAACACCCCGAGCACAAGTATTCCGTTACTTTGGTTACAAAAGTCGGAACAATAAGCTCATGCACGGTATATTGAACTGCGGCAAAATTTTTTCTGGCTTTTTAATAGGTTGCCACACGAAAATATATCACTTTGTAATTAACACGGCGAGTGAGAGGATAAAATTGAGACATTAAAAATTTGGAACAAATCAGTAGGTTCTCCATTTTTTGAAATTTTTAAATCTTGAATGTTAGAGTGCAGTCTGATCATTCAAGCTTCCTCTTGATACAAGCAGTCTTGCTTATATCTATCATTGAATTCGGGACTTAAGAATTTGGCTCTTTTTCCCCTTTCCCCACCTCATACGAACATGAATTTTATGGTGTAGCGAGTGGTTCTACAAGGTTAATTATGAGGACCAAAAATGTTTTTCATAACCTAATGAGTCCGTATGTCAATGTGAACAAAATTTTTAGTTGTAAAATTTTGCAAGAGGGGGAAAGGAAAAAAGCCACCAAATTTCGTGAAACACATTACAAATTTATAGCTCATACTTTTGCCAAAGAGAACAATTCTTTTTTCAAGCGATTTGAATTTCAAAAAAGTTGGGTTGAATTGGTTTATTGTGGTCTTAAAAACATCCTTTTATATCAAAAAAGTTTCCTTTCAATTCGATCAGCGTTACACTGAGCTATTTTTCTAGTATATATTTGTTAATTGCAAACTGTAAGTTCTCGGAAATCCAATCAAGATTTTGCGCTCTAAAGACTCCCGCACTAAAAAAGTTCAAATTAAGCTAAATTACTCCAAGTGTCATTTTTAGGGACATCTTTTGCGAAGGTTTGTTGAAAAAAAATAGAAAAACTATGAAAAACCTACTTTTCAACAATTAATTTTTAAAGCAAAAGTTTGCATAATAGTGATTTTGCAAACGTTTTTCAGTCAAATATCAGCAAAATATTCAACTGAAAAGCGTACATTATAATTTGAATCTCAGTTTACTCATTATTTTTAGTAGTTGAAAAAATCTGTGTAGAATCTTAATATGATCTGCATAAGTAGGTTTAAAGCTCTTTCTATTTCAATTTATTCTGAATAAAAAGTTTAAAACAAAATTAAGCTCCAAAATACAAAAAAAATGCTGTCGAACCCAAATGGATAACTTAACCTGTTTGTGGATCAAAGCAAATCAAATTCAAATCGGTGTCACCCATTTTTTGAAAAATCTCTACTTTATCCGTATAAAATTGATCGCAATCAATTTTTGTCAGTTTGTGATCTAACCAAACAAAGTTCTTCGGGTATCACCTCTATATATATATTTTTGCGAGTTTGGTTTTTTTTACACCAAAACTTTGGAAAAATTGGCCTGAACAAATTCTTGTGGAAAAAAATTATTATTCATGTTCAGAGTCAATATCTTATACAAAATCGCTGTTTTGATGTTTTGTACATTCAATTTGCGAAAGAAAAAACTTGATTCAAATAGGTGATGGATTTGATTCCAGAGATTCGAGCCCTGCCGAACCAAAGGGTTCTCTCTTTATACTATGTTCAGATATCCGTTTTTGATTGACGGACCCCAAATATTTTCTAAATACTTATTATTTTAAGATGGAAGTGAGTACGGAAAACGCAATTTTTTGGTCAAAATTTTCGAAAGGTGCTTACAAATGACTCTTTTTTTTTAAATTTTACCATTGGCTTTTTTTTCAAGTTTTTGCCTTAGGCGCAGATTTTGGCAAAAAAACGGAGTTTTTTTAGTGGTTTGGGAGTGCTCGGAAAATCAATGTATTTTTAAAAAAACTTTAAAAAAAGCCGACAAAATTTTCGAAATAATTTTGAAAATACGCCCCGCCCTCGTGAAAATCCTCAGTCCCTGTATATACTATGTTAATTTTTTCATTTTTTAGACTTATTATGTAAGTTAATTGTGCACTAACACTGACTGTTTAAGTGGTGACTGAGGTACACTATCCTAAACTTAATCTGATGTGCAGCAAATGGGAAATAGAGTTTTTGCGCATAATGTCGCTCATAAATAGACTGAGAAAAGATCCTTTATTAACAAGAAACTCGCGAATTGACTACTAACTCTATACAATGACAGTCACTAATCTGATATTGACCAAAATTAGGAGCGGATAAAAGGGGGTCTCGACCCCGCGACCCACTCAAATAGTCTCCATTGCAAACATTTATAGCACCCATAAGTGATTAAGTTGATTTGTTTTTTTTTTAAATGCGCCTTTGTTTCAACAAGCTCTAAGCTCGAGGGAGAAACTAGCGCCAAAATCTAATTTTTCAGTATCAAAAGTGTCTTCAAAAATGTTGTATTGCTGCGTCAAGACAATTTTAGTCTCAGTTTTTAAAATTTGGTTGCATCATCGGTCTGTAAATTGTTTTCGTGAATCTTGAACACCAATTTAGTCCACACAAAAGGTACAAGTGAAAAAAGCCAAGATCCTTCTTTGGCGAAAATGAATCATTTTTTTTTTGCTAGCAAGCATAGCTATGTTCTAGAATGGTTATCGTGTTCTTTCTTCTTTTTAAAAATTGATTGACTTACATTAAGTTTTCAAAATTCTTAATGCTTTGAGTCATTTACCGGCATGCTTTGTCAATTAATTGTTTTTATAGTTCCGGGAGGAATTTTGTTTTCGATTGTCTTTTAATTTTCTACAATTTTTTTTTCAATTTTGACTTTTGTCTAATTTTGAGCAAAGAAGCCAGCCAGCAGGCTTTTATTATAATGATAAAATTTTTTTAAGCAGTGATAAATTGATTTGCCACCAATAAAAGTATCGAAAATATCTTCTAATCCCTTCTCGCGAAAAAATCGAAGAAAAAAATTTAGTTTTAACTCATAACTGAAAACTTGTTAGCAAACGCTTCCCGCATTGGAGTTCCATGAATAAAAATCGGTTTAAAATGAGTTTCCTTGTCAGTGTCCACAAAAATGAAAACAAATCGATTTTAATCAATTAAAAATGGAACATCATATTACTATTTTTTGAGGCAACAAAATCCGTTTTTTATCCATTATAATCGATTTATTTTCACTTGTGGACACTGACAATGAAACTAGGTTATAATCGTTTTTTTTTCACTTTACTGAGATGCGAATTTCAACCCTGTAATTCATTCATTTACTTTAGATTTCGAGAATAATTTGAGGAAAAATGAAAAAAAAAAACATTCTTTTTGAAGCATTTTTTTTGGCCTTAAATTGCCATCTGAACATTCACGGTTTCGCCCTGTTATACAAGCAGTTTTTTTAATTATTGCGGTAGCATTTTTTGTGGTTTTCCACAGCAACATTTAACTTTGTTCAAATTGATTCTGCATGAGGCTCAAGAAATTTTCAAGCAATTTGCTTGCAACAAATAGAAAAACTGTCAATAAAAAACTATTATTTTGAAAAGGAAATATGTTTTGGCAGTTGCTTTGTTTATATGGCAATCAAGTAATAACCGACGGTCCAAATGTGGCTATACTAAATAGCCTAAAAAAATTCGACCCTTGAAACTTTCTTTCAGCAGTTTCTAAATTCAAAACGCTTCCATAATAGCAAAACGTTCGGCATTTAAAAGCAGCATTATAGCTGTCAACAATTTGTGATTTGAGTCAATTGCTGCTTAAGCTAAATCCAACGGAAGAAAACCAAAGCCTCTGCATTTTTCAAGTTAGTTGGAACGGATTTTTTCTGAGCTCTATTGAAAGCGCCAACAGACCAACTTCAGACTTAAAATGATTCGCTGGCATTACGAGCCCAAACTGCATTCTGTGAATTGCAAGAGGGTTCCGCAACAGGCCCAAATCAGATTTGTCGCGGAACCCGCAACATTGCTGCATTTCTTTGATCTTCTTTGCTATTTTGGAATCCAGAAACAAATACCTAAAACACTGTACCGCTCAAAGTCGAACCAAAATAAGTGAATTTGCGGAATCCGCAACCGTGTTTGCGGAATCCAGAACAAATTATGGAATCCACAAACAAATAATCAAAAATTTGTATAGTTTATTTGAGTTAATTCGGAGTCCGCAAACTGTAAGAGGAATCCGCAAATTGTAAGTGGAATCGGCAAATTGTCAGTGGAATGCGCATTCTGTTTGCGGATTCCGTTTAAATATGTGTATGTGTAGTTTTGGGTCATTCTCAGCATTGTGGCAATTGAGACGGCACAGTTCCTTGAGTATAAGACATTCACAATTCTAATTGTGTTAAAAAATTGTGAGTTATCAATTCAGAAAGATTTGAATAGCTAACACATGATTTCACTCTGTCATCTCATCCTAAATACTATCTTCATAAATTGAATTCACGCTCCCAAATACTGAAACCCAAATACTGAATCTCAAATACTGAATCCCAAAGACTGACCTAGCTCGGAGATATCTCTTCAGGACTCATCCCAAATACTATCTTCATGATTTGAATTCATGCTCATAAATACTGAGTCTCAAATACTGAATCCCAAATACTGACCTAGCTCGGAGATATCTCTTCACATCTCATCCCAAATACTATCTTCATGATTTGAATTCATGCTCATAAATACTGAGTCTCAAATACAAAACCCCAAATACAGAATCTCAAATCCTGAATCCCAAATACTGATCTTATTCGGCGATCGGTCAACCCAATATTGAATTAACCCAATGAATTTATTCGGTGTTGTGTTTCCAAAACTTTGATCCCATAAACTGCTTGCAAGTGTGACATTCATCGATTTAGTTAGCCAATGTTTTTCAGATTTGTTCGTGGATTCCGCTGAAAATGGTTAAGTCCTTGCTTTTCAATTCGGCAAGTGCATATGCAAGTTCAGTAATAAACAAATTTCTGAATTTCTTTACAGTTTGCGGATTCCGCTTACAAATTTTTTGCAGATTCTACTTACATTTGCGGATTCCACTGACATTTTGCGGAACCTACTTACAGTTGCGGAATCCAGAACAACTTTCTATATTTGCGTGTTGCGGAATCCGCAACAAATTAATATGCCGACAAACTTACGTTACAAGTATATCTTGTAAGTGGAATCCACTTACATTTTGGAACATGTTTAAATACTTGTCTCTTAAATCCAGGAAAAAACAGACTCAAAATTGTGCGCCTTTTCAGTGCACAGTTTGGCCTCGTAATGGGTGGCAAAGTTTTTGAAAAGATATGCCACCAATGCGTTTTTGGCAAACTTTGAAACATTCTGAACAAAAGCCAGCTTTTTTGACGAGCTGCTCCCTCAAAGTTGCTTAACATTGGTTTTGAGGGCTCTCTTCAAGACTTGGTGAATTTGAAAGCAAATCTAGTTTTGCAGAAAAACGAAAACCTTTCAAATTTCGAATTTTTTGAAATGCACCTCTGAGTGCAAAACATGGCAAAAATCTTCCAAGATGTTGCAGCATTTGCATTTTTCTCATGCGCGGTTAGAAAAGCAAATAGTGCGAGATTTTATGTTCTCATAACAATTAAGAACTTTTATTGATGATTTTTAAATGGACAAAAAATGGATCCGATCGGTTTTTAAAAAAATTCTCAGTCAATCAGTTTGAGTACCAAGATCAACTTATATGATTCCACCTACCTTTTTTCTTACTCATTTCAAAAACAAATATTTCATGGAAATCATTTAAAAATTGAGGCATCAAATTTATAAATATTGCTTTTCACGTGCTGTTCCGTGACCATTACGAGCATGTAAAATCCTTATAAGAAAAATGAATAGTATCTGGGTTCATCTCTGTACAAAAAAAGGCTTGTGATACGTTTTCATTAATGGGGGCTCTGAAAAAGTGTTTATCATAAATTTCCCAATTAACAAAAACTGCGAAGTCCTTCAAAGTTGTTTTCACATAAATTCGAATAAAAACACTGCCTTTTTTGATGAAGAAGACATTTTTTGATTTATCGAAAATTAGATTTTTTTGCGTGGCAACAACACTAATCATACACTTTTGACTTATGAAAACTGCATGATATGCTATCTTCTACATCATAATTCCTAGATTGAGGAAAAACTTGTGTGCTCAGAATTTTCGGGTTTTTTCCTTTAACGTAGTCTAGACAAGGTCTTTTTTGAACAATTAAGTCAAAAATCACAATGAAGATTTTTTTGTGATGTTTGAATTATTGTTTTTCGATTTAAGATGATAGTATGTGAAAAAAAATTTGTCCAAAGTTAGGCCACTTTTTTCAGTCACTGAGTTATTCTAAACAGAGGCCTCATAGCCATTTACAAACTTTTTTTTCCATGAGTTTTTCTTCCATGACTTTGTTTGAAATTCAAAAGAAAAATTTATTTTGTTTTTCTATTTACGTATTTTCACCCACGATTACGCCATCGTTTAAAATATAAGGTTTCTATGAGAAAACAAATTGGTTTTTGTGTTTTATGGCAAATACAGAGCGAAACCTAAAACGAGGTTTCAATCTAAAGAAAAATGCTTGTCATTCAAGTCGATTTGTACAAAAATTTCTAATCATACAATTTAATGAATGGAAAATGCTAGACATGCAATTCCAAGAATAGAACAAAGCTAAAGCTAGTCATGATATTTTCATACATTTTGTTCCTCTATAGAATTGTATGGAGTTGTATGATAAGCGTTTTTTTTTTCAAATTAAAAAAGTTGTAGGACTATTTATTGTGCCGCGTAGTGAAAATGCAATCTTTTTTTAGATTCAAAATAATCAGTGGATTGAGTAGAAAACAACTTTCAAGAACATTAAAAAACAAAATGTATTTAAGCAAAACAATCCAGTAGTTTATGCTCTATATTGGCAAAAGCGAAGACCTAGGATGTTTTTATGTACAATATTTTGAATATTTTCTCAATATTTGAATTAAAAGCAATGATTAAATTATTTTGAAAACTGGCTCACAAAGTAATTAAGACCAATTTTAGCCAATATTAATTGGAAAACAAGTTAATTTGAAAACTGGCTTACGATTTTGTTAAGAGTTTGAAAGTTTTTCTCGCACAAAGTAATTAAGATCAATTTTAGGCAATATTTTTTTCACATTAACAATCTGTTCAAACCCACACTAAATCAATTTACTTAGATCAAATGGGTTATCCTAGCTCATTTTTATACTCTGGAAAACCAATTCAAAACGATTCCTATCTCAAGTCTTTTTTTAGCTTGGGCTATTATTTAAGATTAGAATTCATTTTACTGATTTTACTGCATGCCCTGCTTGAGCTCTTTAGACCAAAAAAATCATACGTTGTCGCTAAAACGTGTCGGGGGGTTGTACGGTTGATCTAAGATATCTATCAAATTTTGGGCAGAACCGAATTAAGTTTTAGCTAGAAGTCCGTGACATTAAAGATGGTATATATTTTTTCCAGCTTAAGAAAAAAGTAAGTATGCTAAATTAAATTGCCATGTGAAATGGTACCGCCATAATTTGCCTAAAATGGTCGGCTTATTTTAGAATCGGCTAATTGGTAACACGCACTGACAAAAATGGTTTCGGATCGATTTAAATTGATTTTATTTCGATTTTAAATTGATCCAAATCGATTAACCATGTACAATTTAGGAACTAAAATCTATTTTAAATTGTTTGCAATTGATCTTTCTTGAAAATTTTGAATCGATTCAATTGTCTGAAAAATCGATTCAAATTGATTTAGATGGATTTTTTGACTCACTAAAATCGATCCGAATCTCACTTAAATCCATCTGAATCTTCCTAAAATCCATATAAATATATTTTGAAAGACCCCTGAGCAGATCCATTTAAGCGTCTAAAAATCTATTTTCAATCAATTTTTTAATTCACACGGCGAAGAAAAACATGAATTTTGGAAAATTAATTGAAATATTTTAATCTCGGTTTTTAATTAAAAACACACAGGCTAGATGTTTTAGAATTGAAGAAAATGGTCCACACAAAATCAGATTTTGAGCTCAAAAGTATGCAGTGAGCTTATAAAAAATATCATTGTAAATCATATAAGCAAAAAACCTATGTAAGAAGTCAAAAAAATGACCAGTATAGATCAGATTTTGAGCTCAAAGTATACAAGGAAATCATAAAATGCTTTCATTTAAAAACAATTAGTCTTTTTTTATGCTACCTACGCTACGGATGTAAAATTAACACGAATTGGCGATGAATAAATGCAACGCAAACTTGAAACTGATGATTTAATTGAAAAAAATCGATTTAAATCCGTTTTGATCCCCCTGAAAAAAAAAACAACTTACGAGCAAAAAAAATGGGTTTAAATTGATTTAAAATCGATTTGGATCAATTTTCTCAGCTGGGTTTTAAGAAAAATCCATTTAAATTGATTTAGGACTGATGCAAATCAATCTTAATCCTTTCCTTTTAATCTTCGTACTTTTCCCTACTAAAATTGATCTTAATCCATCTTTGTCAGTGCGGGAAATCCTCTACTGGAATGACCATGTTTTAGATCAGAGAGGAAACGGTGCATTTGACACAGTTTCTGTGGGCTCATACTAATGGCACTATGCTAAGTAGCCGAATGTTCACAGTAGTTATTCCCTGTCATCTGGACGTCCTCCTTTACCCGTTTGATACTGTGGTCTGCAAAATGAGCATCAGTTCCTACACTTACATCACAGAAGGTATGCATATGCACTTATCAGATTGAGTTTTGAGAAACTTCCGAAAATATCGGAAGTTCATCCATAAAAGTGATGAGACTCCATCACGCACAGTTTCGATTAGCTGTAATGTAAAAATAGTTTTTCAAAGCCGAATTTCAAATTTGGGGGAAGGAGGGGGTTAGGAGAGCAGAGACACAGAGACACAGATATAAATTGAGTTGACTTCTTAAATTTTTTTAAATGAAAATTTTCTAAAATTCACGCTAAATCTGATCTTTTGCAATTCCACTTTTGTTTTTTTTCAAGCTCAAATCATATGCTAAAGTAAGTCAAATTGCGCTCTCCAGTAACAGATGACCTGTAGCAGACGACCTTAATTTCTCAGGAAATTGACCCCCTACCCAAAAAATCGCCTTTGGTACTATTTGAAGACATCTAATTTTCGCTGACTGACTCGAAAAAATTGGCTAACTTTGAGGAGCACGCGCCGAAAAAGCAAAATTTCTTGGTCAAACTTTTTCAAAAAGTTCCGAAAAACGCCATTTTTGGCCTGATTTTTTCAAAAATTTGCCTTGGTCAAAATAATGTCATTGTTAGATACTTTTTGAAAGCTCTCCTCTCGAAAATCTTAGATCCACCCCTGGCGCTCGCCAATTAAAAAAGCGGAACTGACGCAAAAAAATTATTAAGAATTTTTAGTTTCGAAGGTGGATTTTAAATGTAAGATTTCTCAACGGAACAAAATTAAAAATATAGTGGCTAAGTTTCTTCTGTTTCCTTGCGTTAGTTAATATTTTTTTTTCGATTTTTTTCCCAATTAAATTTTGACTTGCGCGACGATCAGCGTTCGGTGAAAGCCATAGCAGATCGGGGTGTGTATATTTTCTCAACGCAAAAAGACCCAACCCAAGTTTTTGTGGTTCTTTTCTGTTATGCGGCCGAAAACTATCATAACGCTTAATGAGAAAATATGTTTAAGAACCAGTTTCAAATTTCTTTCGCCTTATTAATTTCATCCAATCAGAAGCAAGCATTATGATCCAAATTTGAAAAAAAAAAATAATAACAAAAAAGACCCGTTTGTGTAAATGTGTTGGCAAATTACGAGCCGTTTCGGTCTGCTAGTTTTTTTCTCTGCTATATGTATATATATGTTCATTCAAAGTAAAAGAATAGCTGCTGCTTGTGAGGGATGCCAAATATTTTCAATTTGTATTTTAATAAAAGAACTTCTAAACTTCGCTGTTTCTTTTGTCAACTTGGTCTTATTTCACGCCTTCTTGTTTTGCGGAGACTTTTTTAGAGCTCATAAACACAGATAGGATGAAAATAGCAATAAATCTCGACAAAAATTTCTAACATTTCCTGAAAACGATATTCTGATCAATTTTACATAAAATTGTACGCAAAACATAATTATTGCCAAATTTGGATTTACTTGATGTTCTGTTGTGATTCTTACCATTTGTTTTATTTCACTAATTACTTTAAATTATCTAACTGGTTAATCTTGATTTGACCTTGCTATCCTCATTCTCTCCGACGGAGAGAATGACCGCTCACTATTTTAATGTTTTAACTTAGAGATTAATTCACTTTTTAAACATATCTTATTTGTAACTAAGTAGAATTAACCGTAACAAAGGAACATTTTATCATGGCGCAGTCAAACAGCAACGAATCAAACGTGAGAGGTATACCTTCATTTTGGCAGAACCACACAGTGGACCCACCAATTCCTTGGGAAGAGTGGAGCGATCTATTCCAGCTAGCGTTAATCGCAAAAGAGAATATCGACATCGAAAATCTCTTGAATCCAACGGAACGATATCACCCACCTCCCCCAACATTGGAAAATCCGCCGGAAAACGAATCCGACGCTCAAAAAACATCACGCATCGAGAGGAATATCCAAGAACAAAAGAGATTCGATGATGAAGAAATGGCCTCAATAAAGTTAGAAACCAAGAAATTCAACGGTATGAGACTGGAAGAGGCGGACAAAAAACTAAGATCCATACTTTATCTAGCCCTTGGAAACGAAGGAAAGAAAATATTCGGCCAGAAGTTCACAAGAGTCAAAGTTCTACAAATTTCTTTCAAAGAATTTTGGGACAATTTGTCCACAGCTTTTGTGAGAAAAACAAACATAACCTTCGAAAGACACAAACTCTTAAACAGAAAACAGAGGGACAGAGAATCATTAGAACAATTCTGGGGGGCACTGGCTGAAATGGCAAAACGATGTAACATTCCCACAGGAGAAGACGAATGGATTAGAGATATTTTTTATTAATAACATGAAGAATTCAGATATCCAACGGAAACTTCTCACGGAAACCTTACCGCCATTAGAAGCCTTAAACGTAGCCCTGATTGATGAAAAAGGAATTACAAACCACATAAAGATGACGAGTACTTTTAAATCCAGCAGATATTCTTCCAACAAATCTTTTAATCACTTTAATGTAAAAAGAGAACCCACCCTAAACATCGAAAGAAACAACACATGTATGAAATGCGGCGGAAGTTTTACAAAAGGACATCTAGCGGTTTGCCCTGCTAAAGATACAACATGTACGACTTGTAAATATCGAGGACATTTTACTAGATTTTGTAAATCACGCCGTAAAAATGTAAATATTGTGGATAGCCAAATTGTAAATAATACGGATCATCATTATCCTTCGGAACAACCAGATGTACATATTGACCACGCTAATAGAGAATGCTGTGGAGTAATAAATGCATGGTCAGAGTCTGGACAAAGCGATAACGACGATTACTCAGTATTAAACGTAACAACTATCTACGATGATCAAGGAAAGGAGATGAAGAAACTACTAAATATCGGCTTAGGAAATGAAAACCAAGTAATTCTGAACATACAGGTGGATTCAGCAAGCCCTGTAAGCTTCCTTAAACAGAATGTGTTACACGAGTTGAGACTACGAGACCCCTACGTGAAAATATATCCAGTGGATAAAGCTACCAAGGAACTCTATTGTGGATTTACGAACAATGCAATAAATATCACTGGAAAAGTAATTGTCCCAATTTTCTCAAATGGATGGTCTCACAAGGAATGCCACTTCTTTCTAACTCAAGGTCATGAAAGAAACATCTTGGGAAACAATTTACCAAAAGTCGGAATCGAAGTTTCACAAAAACAATACGCAACACTCACCAACAAGAGAACTTGTAAGTTTATCAATTCCGTTACTTCACTTGACATAGATAATGAAATAGAAATGATTGGAAAAACCTTCAAACAACTATTCCTTCGGATTGGAAAAATAAAGAATCAAACAAAAATAACACATTTTCATGAACCATTAAAGCCAATTCAACTAAAAGGCAGGAGGGTCCCTTTACACTTACTAGACTCAGTAAAAACAGAATTATACAGGCTTAAATCCGAAGGACACATCAAAAAATTAGAAAACTGTGACAAGGACAGATTTATTAGTCCGATAGTTATTACTTGTAAAAAAGACAAATCGATAAAGCTAGCCCTTGATTCAAAATTCATCAACAAACAAATATACAAGAACAAATATCAGATGCCTAATATACACGAACTAGTTGATAACGTGGCGGCTCAAATTTCGGACAATTCCGCCGGAGAAGTATGGTTTACAAACCTAGACCTAAAGAACGCATATAGTCAACTCGCACTGGACAATTTTACTAGCAGCCAATGCAACTTTAGTCTAGTCGGCGGAGATATAACAGGCACTTATCAATTTTTAACGGGTTTTTACGGACTCGGCGATATGCCAAACGAGTTTCAGAGAGTCATGGACTCAACTTTGGGAAACATTCCTTTTACAAATTGCTACCTCGACGATATATTAGTCGCTTCCAAAGGAAGTTTTAACGATCACAAGAAAATCGTTTACAAAATTTTATCAACGTTAGACACTTACAATTTCGCAGTTAAATGGTCGAAGTGTAAATTCTTCCAAAAAGAAATTGAATGGCTCGGTTTTACAATATCGAAATCCGGAATCGCCCCATCGCAACCAAGGCAATCAAAGATATTCCAACCCCAAAGAATCTAAAAGAATTAAGATCATTCTTCGGGTCAACTAATCAGTACATTAAATTCGTACCAAATCTAGCATCCCTCGGAAGCCCGCTTAGACCTCTTTTAAACAAGAAGTCAATTTTCCTTTGGAATGAAGATCACTCAAAAGCTTTCGTCAAGATTAAATCTGAAATAGTAAATCTTACCGAAAACACTCATTTCGACGTAAAAAAGCCCATGAGAGTAAAAACAGATGCTTCACATAATGGATTAGGTGCATCCCTTGAACAACTTCATGAGAAAGTTTGGAAAACAGTGTCATTTGCTTCAAGATTTTTAAATCCGCACGAATCGAAATATTCAACAAACGAATTAGAGTTATTAGGAGTTGTATGGGCGGTTGAACATTACAAAAATTATCTCTATGGCTCCGAATTTGAAATTATCACCGACCACAAAGCTCTCCTTTCCGCTTTGTCACCAAATCACGGAAACAAAACATACCATAGCCGATTGACAAGATGGGTAGCTCGTCTCCTACCATTCAATTTTACTATCAAACACTTAGCGGGAAAAGATATGGGTTTTACAGACTTAATTTCAAGAACTCCTTCGGGTAAAGCAATTCCCTCATCACACTACGACGAAGAATTTGTAGTTGCTACTACCAAAAAAATATATAGTGCACTCAATCCTTCGGATAATGAAAATCCATTACGTAATTCAATTAATTCGATTTCGGAAAATTCCCATTACATGAAATTACGAAATCACGTAATAATCACAGCATTGAATTTCGTCAGCTCTTCCATTTCAATCTGCAATCAAAAACATTATAGAACAGAACTTTGTAATTCTAAATGTATTCCTTCGGATTTCTCAAACACTGATTTTACTAAAAGTATCCTATCAAATTCAGCCTTTATCTATTTTTTAATCCTTAACAGTAGCTTAATTAGTAATCCTTCGGATCTCAAACTTATAAATA